TATTTAGAATTCAACGCATAAACAAATGGCTTTTCAGTTAATACAGGTACCACGTTTAATTATTTCAGAAGACTTTAACTTCATTTGCACAATCGATGTTTCTTATTCAAAAAGGCTATCTTTTCCTAAAATTAATAACCACACAGTATATATAACGCTCAAATAGCACGCATAAGCCTGTTTCTAAAAATAACAACTCTATAAATACAAGTATGAAGATCATACGAATTTTCATCGGACGTTTACGATATTTACCTGTTCTAAAATAAATATGATATTATACTAGATTTTTTTATTAAAAACATGGAATGAGATCGCGAGCCGGTTATTTGCGGTGCTTTTGACGTTTGATACAAATATTATTGAGTAGTATTGCCTGATTGACATTTTGATCTTTTTTACTTCATAGACAAAAATTTATTGGGAACTTCAAGTAAATAGTCTAGACAATATAAACATAGATAAACAAGTATTATATATAGATAAGCAAGTATAAATAGATCGCTATGCCAGGCGATTTGCCGTTACATCGATTAAATACGCACTTTGATTATAGATAGCAGTACATGTTACATATTGTAAATTAATGCCTGGTATTACTTCTACATTTGTACATAATCAATACAGCCATAAAAACTGAAAAAATTTAATATTGGAAATAAGAACAAAACATACGACAATACAAAATATATTTTAAATATATCACAGGCATAATTTTGAAGAATTATAAATAAACAGAATTAGTCAGTTAGACTAATATTAATTAAATTACATATTTTAAAGTACTATTAAGGAAAATAAATAATATTAATTACTTAATGACTAAGTAATGATAATATATTAATAACTTAAAAACCAAGAAGAGAAAAGCGCAGGAGTATTGTAGATGGAATGACAAATTTAATCTAGTTTTTTGAACATAAGTCGAATCAGAGCAACTTCGATTTTTAGCCAAAAAATCTGACAATGTCCCCCATTGCGAGAATTCTCGATTTTGTAAGATTGCTATAAAATAAAAACTATAGTCAGAGGGGTCTAAAAATTCCGATAAAAAACTTACACATAGCAGTATAGATCAAAATAGGGCAAGGAAGGCGGCACAACAACAACCCCTTGTTTTATTTTATCTGTTGTTTTCACCCTGAAATATACTGGTCCTCACATACTGGTACCTCATAAAATAATACTGGTCTAAAAGATTATGAAGCAGCACCAGTTTATCATAAGAAAAAATAAAACAGTTGATATAAACATACGTACAGGTAAAAGAACTGGAATACTATTTTCTGTATTTGGTATAAAAAATTACATCAGCATTTATGAGCTTTACCATAAATTTGCATTTATTGAATGACAACTAGATAATATGAATATCACTGAGAAAGCAATAAGTTACATATAATATAATATAATTTTTTATCTACATTACCCATAAATAATAGTTAAACTTCATAAAATGTAACTCAGTTCCAAGGATTTAACCATTTCAACCGAGAATCTTTCTTTAATGTATCTGAATCTAATCTCTTTTGATCATTTTTAAAATTCTCTGTAATCTGAACTTGTTTTTCAGTAATTGTAATATCTTTATGAACTATACATTCTCCATTTTCTTTCAAAAATGTTGCATGAAGATCTTTCTCCGTAGGTTCTCCATAGGGAATACAATAGGCGTAACTTTTATTAAATGCTTGATTGTCCATAATCTTGCATTGTTTTCTGGTATGTTTTTTACTATTGCTATGTCCGTTTGCTACAAGATAATATTCTATATAACACATGTAATAACAAATAATTAGCATTGTTGATAACATTTAAGGAGGTATTCTAGTGTAAGAATTAAGAAAAAAATCTCTTTACTTCCATATTATTAAAATTCAACTATTTTAAAATATGTGTATGAGAGGATTTTAAAAAATTTAAAATTATTAAGGAGATACAGTTGTTTGACCATGATTATCCTCTTCCGTTTAATATTAAATCTTGGTTATTTTAAAATTAATAGATGCAATTACTTGTGGTAAATAAATCAGTTTTACAAGTAGTGATCATTGAATAATATGTAAATTATACCTTATCAACCAGTCCTAAATCTCTCAAGATTCGTCTTTCCCATACGGTGTGCCTTTAACTGGTTTGACCCGTTGAACCCTAAATAATTTTGTTGGCTCATAGTCAGGATCTTTTCATCTGGATGTCTATAATAGATAAGGTAAATTGTGTTACTTAATTATAAATTAGTTAGAGATTTTTTTTAAGTTATTTTTGAGGTTACCTTGGATAATAAGTTATTTGTCCAAATTTGACACCTCCTGCAAACTTTGGTCGAATATAATGTCTAACTAAAGGAATACTATTATTTTTTATAAGTAAGGATGAAATAATCATGTTTTTGCAGTATTTTTTACGTAGGTTAATACGAATGGTTAAAACTTCAATATTATGGCAGCACCGGTATTTCGAACCCTAGTTTTCATAGATACAAACCAGTTATGCAATATTGCAATCGTACACCATTAGATGTCACTGACAGCACGTTCATATATGAAATAAAACAAAACACATATCCCGCCATTTTAATTAGTATATTGACAGATGTAAAATAATAATAAATAAAATCAAATAATTACTAGTATTATTAATATAGCAGGTAAGATAGCATTATAGATATAATTCAATACACACAAGTTGATCTTTAAGTCTATAAAAAGTTTTACAAATATACTTTGCGTTTTTCTGACGTTTCAATTCCCTAAGAAACAAAATTTAACACAAAAATCATGCAAATTTCGTTTCAAGTTCTGGAGTTAACTCAAATTATGGCTAATAATAAAATTCCAAGTATTGATGCAAGAAATGAGCTTGCTGAGTTGGTGAAGCGAAAGTTGAAATAGCTGTAAGTAAATTTGGAATAAAAATTAATATTTCTGTAAAGAAACTTTTTTATTCCATAAAAAAAATCTCAAATTATTATATGCCCTAAGCAAGTAAATTTTTCTTTAGGAAACTCTAGCAAATCTCGAGAGACAAATATATGCCTTCGAAGGTAACCTATAAACAAAAATAAATTTATAATTTATTGTCCTTGTTCTTATAAAATGTAATTATAGGATCATACCTCGAAGATACCCAATTATATGGAAATATAATTCGTGGGTGGGATAGATATTTGGTGTCCAATAATAATTTATCGATTAGTTCAAGTAATGCAAATAATAAAACAAACAATTCGAGTAATTCAAATTCCAAGCATGATAAAAGGAACAGGAAATTCAAAGAAGCAGAAAGGTTATTTTCTAAATCCTCAATCACGTCAATGGCAGTAAGTTATTTGTTAGATATGTGTATTAAAATTTGATTTTTCAAAATTATATAAATGTTTTTTATATAGGCTGTATCAGGACTCATAGAACCAAACGAACAAAAACGTAAGTTAATATATTATTGCTACTACTATTTATTTTATTTATTCCTGTATATAGTTTTTAATTTGAATTTTATTTGTTATTTTATTTTTGCAGATTTTGATTCAAAGAACTGAAATCTTAGTTTGTTTTGATGCAATATATTTTTAAGTTTCAATAATTTAAGGATTTTATATTATAAATGTGATTATTAAACTAGTTCTTAAAAATATTTATTTTTTTATGTATTTTTATATATGCAATAAAATATTAGCATTAAATATTTTTTGTTTTTATTTTGTTATTTATTTTAATTTAGTGTAAGTGCAATATTTTTTATTAGATTTTGTATTTTGGTAGAATATTCAATTACACAATTTTGATAATGTCATCTTGTAGTAAAAAATCATGCTTCAACTTATTATTTTAAATGCTGTTTACTGATTTGAATATTTTGGTATACAATTGCATTTTTTGTGTGAAAAAACTATTAGTTAATTTGATATTGCAGAAAATCGGGAGGAAATGAATTCTCCAGCTCGAAGTAATGATAACGACTCTTCTGATGAAGGTAGCATATTTTTTATACAATTGGTTACCCCTTATGGTTTCATCAATATGAGATAAAAACTAAAAGCGATGCATTTATCTAAAGCCCCGAAACGATTTAACAAAGCAAAATGTTTTTAACTATATTGCAATTAACTTAATCAATTTCGTTAGTTTACTTTATTTCATGTTCATAGTCGCACCAATTTGCTATTATACTTAAATAAAAAAGCTGCCGATATGTCACTTTACAAATTTAATTATCATGAAATTGGCATCATTTTTCAATAATATTCTGTAATATATTATTATCAAACTACATAACTCATTCATTAACATTTTTCACTTTCAATTTTTTTCAGGATTAATTGGAGATATTCCGAAAAATACCTCAGGAAAACATCAAACCGCAAACACTTTTTCATCTAGTACTAATAATACAACAAATACAAACAATAATTCATCGATGATTAATTCTGTTTCAAGTTCGAATATGGTAAATAATGCTAGTAAAAACAATGTGCACAACTCTTCAAATAATATCCCAAATAACAATAACAGCAAAAATAAACACAGTTTTGATAAACGTAATGCAAATAAAAAGGCGAGATATAAATAAAAAAAACGATAAAATTTAATGATTAAAGTGATTATACTTGCTTACTTCGAGATAGAATCATTTTTTAATAAAAATAGATGTTTTAAATGTCAATGAATGTCCTGTTTAATAAAATATTTTATATTACCAACTTCTTGTTTCATATTTATGGTACCAAAAGTATGCACATAGCAAATGGATAAATGTAATTTTGATATTTGAAAATTATAACGCACAATTGTTATTTACAAACTATTAAAATTAAATGTATCTCCATTAAATTCTTCAATTTCTGGTTACAATTATATTGTTAAAATTAGAAATTTAAACCAGGACTATTATATATATATATATATATATATACGAGGTGTGTTCAAAAAGTACCCGGAATTACTAATAATTATATTTCGCGGGTCTGGAGTGTCTGATTGTCAAAAATTTTTTTTTATTGTGTTGGTATACATGCCCCTAAAGTATGATGAAATTTTCAGCTATATTCACTGTTTACTTTGTCTGTGGTAGTCGCTAAGGTTCGACGTGTTTTTCTGAGCTCGGCGATTTTTACAATGGAAGAATTGAAAAGTCAAAGAATTTGTATTAAATTTTGCGTAAAAAATGAAATAAAGTGTTGCAAAGTGCAAAAATTCACCAGATATGGCTCCGTGTGACTTTTTCCTATTCCCAAAGTTGAAGAGACCCATGAAAGGACGGCGGTTTTCCTCGATTGAAGAAAATCGCTGAGAGTGCTCAAGGACATATCAAAAAGTGAATATCAAGGGTGCTTCGAAAATTGGAAAAAACGCTGGCATAAGTGTATTATATCTGGGGGGGGACTACTTTGAAGGGGACCACATTAATGTAGACGAATAAATAAATATTTTTTTGGAAAAACGAAAATTCCGGGTACTTTTTGAACAGACCTCGTATATATATATATATATATATATATATATATATTGCATTTTTTTTACATATAAATAAAAAGACTTACCAAAGGCTCTGAATGTATCTCCTATCTAATTTGTTTGTTAGTGCAGCCGACTTTGTCCTGAGTAAATATCAATAAATAAGTACTAGCGACATTCTCCAAATTGAATGATATGTGATTTTTCCTTTATACTACAAATTTTCATTCCATATTCATTTACAAGATGGAATGAGTCCAGATTATTACAATAGTTCCTGCTTATCAGAGAAAAAAAATTGAAATGATTCGATAAATTTTGATAAAATATACCTGAAATGAAATAATGAGAATATTATTATTGATAGCCTGCATGCTGGTGAAATTACATCATTATTTTGTTCTAATTTAAAGAAATATTTATCCAAATCAGTTTCAGGAAATTAAAATACAAATATATATTGATATAAATATATATTTAAAAGTTAGTATGTATTACGGTTGTTACCTTTTACACAGGTAGATATTATGTATATTGCATAATAAACATTAAGATATATTATATCAATAAAATAAAACTATTGCACTAAATAACATTTATAATTTTGTTCCGTATTTTAACCACAAAGGAAACAGTGAGAAAACCTAAACATTATACATAAAACTTATATATATATTTAATTATATATATATATATATATATATATATATATATATATATATAAAGAACTTAAATGTGAAATCTTGAGGTAGTAACAAAATATTCATAATTCACAATAACTTATAATATTGATTGCCTCGTTATTTTATAATACGTATAAATAGTTTCTTAGTATTTGTCTAAATGATGCTTGTTCGTGAAAGAAAATATAATGCTTCAGAAATACAATCAATCTTTGTTCATAATATATAGCACTAAAACAATGTAAATCAATTCGCTTTGATAAATTTTCACAATGTTTGCAAGATTTGTATATAATAGAATGAAAATGAAGAGGAATAGTTATGGAGAGTATTAACAACACTTTAGAGTCCACAGTTCCTTTTCAAAAATTCTAAAGAATATTTTCTTAATTTATATTATAATAGAGTGAAATGTGAAATATTATTACCAAAACTGAGTGGCACAATCAAGGGAAAATATTGTTACTTAGACTGGAATAAAAAAATTATTTAATTCGCACATATAACAACCGATATACTTTTAAAAAACAATTCAATCACAAGCAACAAAAAAAAAAAAAACAAATTTCAAGCATTACATTTAAGTTAAGATCAATATAAGTATAGATCAATGTCCCATTAAAAGGCTTAACATACAAAATTTAGATAACTAGCTAGTTGCATCGTAGAACCAGCCAAATACTCATAAGTAAACTGAATGCATTATTAAAAATAAGTAGACCAGGAACTTAATAATTTACTAGTTTAAAAATTTCCTCATAATCGATCATTTCCTAATCTTTGCATTAAAAAATCTAATTCATAATTCTATATATAAAATAACTATTCTATAAATTAGTTACATACATTTCTTTGTGATATAAGTATTTCAGGTTAAGTCAAACTCACGTGAGCTTTTGTATATAATACATCGTCATCATGTAGTTTCCTTTATATTCGTGATTGTAAATAAATAACTAAATAAATATACTCAATATGTTAATCTCCATAAATAAAATATATAATTTATCCATTTTATCATAAAAACCTATTAAAATATGTAAAAAATCTTAAAATAATCTTTTGCTTAAAAATTAAGAATCACAAACAAGTGGAATTGTTTAAAATAACAGTATAAAATAAAATGCTCTGATATATTATCTAATACTGGAGTGCAGTAAGTATTTAAGTTTAAACCCGTTGTATCTCAAATAGTTTTACATCTGTGTCATACCATATCGGTGGATCGACATTTCTAGAAATAAAGCATTTTATCATGAAAATATTTGTTTATTGAATAGTGGGCAATAAATTGAAAGTTAGCTTACCTTAAGTAAATGACACCCCACATGTATGTTCTAAACCAGGCCGTGGTCCCAGGATTAGCTTGATATTTTCTGATTAGAATTGGATGGGGAACTGGTAATAATCCAACTAATGTGCCGTGTTGTAAAAATCGCAGAATCTCACTCTCATCAGTCAATCCTCTGAGAAGTATAAATGATTACATTTTATAAAATATCAGGTATTGGTCGCAAGTGGCATTTTTATAAGAAAATTTTCAAAAACTTTCCGGCATGTGTGAATAATCAACATAATCAATAAGAAAAAAATTATAAGTGATATATACCAAGCTCGAAACAAAGACAATTTTTTTTTTTTAATTGGTGGACAAAAAAAATTGGAAAAATTAAAAAAAAACGACTTATAAAAATATCATGGATAAGTCCATGGATTTTGAAACTAAAATTAAAATTCACAAATTGATAAAACTTTGAAAAAAGCATCATAGACAAAAAAATCATTGACAAAAATGTTAGAAAAAAATCAAGGACAAGAAAAACCAAAAAAAATCATGGACAAAAGCCCACGGATTTTAAAATTGAAATTGAAATTTACGAATCGATAAAAACCTAAAAAAAAAAATCATAAACAAAAAAAAAAATCATTGACTAAGAATGTTTGGAAAAAAATCGTGTACGGATTTTGAAATCATTGACAAAAATTTTTTGAAAAAAATCATTGACAAAAAATGTTTTGAAAAAAAACATTGACAAACAAATTTTGAAATAAATTATAGTCCATTTTGAAAGATTTTGAAACTGAAATTAAAATTTACGAATCGATAAAAACTTTCACATTTTTTTTTTAAATAAAAATAAAAATTAAAAAAAAAAAATAGAAAAATATCATAGATGAAAACAATTGAAAGTCTACGGATTTTAAAATTAAAATTAAAATTTCGATTAAAGATCAAATTTTGGCCCACTTATACATTACATCGCAAAAAAAAAACATACTTGTCAATGCAGATCTTTTCCACCTGTGGAACTAAAACTTGGAGCAGCCTCATAATTGTTTGCAACGGCAACTTAGTCCTCCAAGAATTTACCCATTCGCTTGTAGCATGGAAAATTTCGCCTTCTTTTACATCACCAGAAGAATTAGCAGCTACTCTTATACTACCCCTCTGCAATAATAAAAATAAAAAAGAATATAATAGTAATTTACTTCATAATGAATAAAGAAAGGCATATATTAAATATTATCACAAAATAAAAAATTTTAATACCTGATTTACAGCTCTTTGGAATGTAGGTGAATCTAAATGATCTTTGGAATTATTTTGCTTGTCAACTGGTGATAATGGCTAAAAACAATAAACATATTTAGTATGAATTAATTTAAGAAATCAAATAACATTCATTATTACCTCATTGTCTTGATTGCATTTAGAATTTCTCGGTTCTTCCGATTCTAAGGACAATTCCTTCATTTGTTGACTAGAAGGATGTGCAGAAGCACTTTCCGTCATTTGAGCAATAGCTACAATTTCATGAGAATGATTATAAAAATATTATATTTATTGTAATATGGGTCACTAAATACAAACCAGGTGTTTTCATCAATGTTGCATTCAAAGTTCCTGGCTCGGCTGGTAATGCTGGTTTTGCACCTTCCATTAACTCCTCAGGGGCAGTCATAGGTGAATGAGCCAATTCAGGACTTGGAGTTGAACTATTCTTCAACAGTTTTCTACCTCCTAATGCTTTTGATATGCCACCAACATCATTTGGTAAGTTTGCCAAAGCATGGAAAACTTGACGCTTTCTTATGATTGTATATACCAAATTTGAGTTACCTAAATTAAATATTATTTAATTAAGAAAAAGGCATATTTAAGTTTAATAATTTATTAACTTACCATCAAATTGGTACTGAATAATATTATTGAAAATTTCCAATAAAAAGAACACTAAATGATGATTAGCCGGGGCTGAAAATAAGAACCAAGGCGTGCTAAAAGCTTCTAAGAGATGCAGAAGTTTCGTACTCGCAACCATTGATAACGTTTTCAAATACGGAGATACTGAAAATTGATTTTTTTATTTAATAAATATAAATAACAATAAATAAAAAACATGTATTTAATATGTTTTTTCTATTATAACTT